ATCTAAAAATCTTACCAAATATAAAAATTCAATAAGATATTTTAAAACATCATAATTTTGCGATGGTAATTTTTCAGCAAGCAAATCTCGTATAACATCAACTTGATTGTGTCGTTTAAGTGCTAAATGAAAAAAAAAAATTAAACCAATTACAATTCAAAAAACAAAAAAACTTTCATATATATTTATAATACAAATAAAGCAGAAGCGCGTTCCCTTAATAAAAGCAAATAAAGACAAAGTGTAATATAAATTATATGTGTACCGCATGTATATAAGCATAGAAGAAAATCGAATAGGCGTTGATCAACAAATAATTTTCACACGAAAAGCCATTATATAAAAATCATATACTCACTACCTGAAAGTCCAAGAAGTTCAGGATATAGACGATAGGTCATTAATGGTTCAGTTAAATCACGTAAAAATGTTTTTAAGATACATGCTGCCAAATGAACATCACTATATTGTTGAAATACAACTGGTTCACCTATAAAATATTCTCTTTAATAAATCAATATCAAAAACAAAACAAAAAAAACACAAATTTTCATTTATATCTAACCTCGATTATATTTTTCTTGTACTTGTTTAATTAATGAAACAGGTACCGTTCGACGAAATATTCCTGGTTCATTAAGTCCTAAATAAATCAATTTTTTTGAGAAAAAAAACCAAAAAAGGAAAAACAAAAGAAAATTTTCTTTACCATAACTTCTAATATAATCAATTGTTTGTCGAATAACAAGTGGTATTTTTTCACCATTTTCATGATCAAGAATACTATAGAAAAGAGAAACAAAGAAATTATTTAATTATAATTAAAAAAACGTTAGTTTTTATATATATAAAATTACAATTGAAGTGAAACATGAAATTTTGTTGTTGATTGTAGTTCTGCTGGTGGTATTTCAATTGGAATAATTGGATCAACACTAAATTAAATAATTATTTAAATAAAAACAAAAGAAAATAAAAAACATACGATTTAACTTGAGGCGGTATTTTAATATTATCCAAATGAACATATTCCATTAATTGACCAAGACGATTAATATAAATAAGTTTACTTGAAAATTTTGCACTTAAATATAAAAATAATTTTTTTTTAATGAAAGAAAAAAAAACCTAAACATACACATTAAAAGTTAAGATTATTTACCTTATTATTGAACGAAGAAATGGCCATAAAAATTTAATCCATTTTGTTGGATGAACAATATAAAATGCTTTTAAATTTTTCTTATATCTAAAATTGAAGAGATAAAAAACAAGAAAGAAAAATTATTTTAACTATTATTAAAATAGATCAAAATTAAATCATACTTTCGATCGAGATTAAAATAAGCACTTAATAACCATCCATATGATGGTCTATTATATGAACGTAAACCATGATGAAAATAAACAATGACATAATCCATATCAACATATTGATCAAATGTTCTTAAGACATATCTTTTGAAGAGAAAAAAAAAAAGAAAACTATATATATCGAAGTTTAATTTGAAAAAATAAAAAAATTTTTTACTTCAATAAACAATCATAAAATTTATCAACTGTTTTAAATTCACTATGTTTAATTACATCTTCATGTGGTAAACGACATGCTGAACAAACAATTGTTTTTCGACCAAATTTATCTTCACCACACAATTCAATTATTCCATAATCAGCGATTCTTCTCAGTAAATTATAATCAGGATCTTCTGTATCATGAAACTCCTTGACAAAATAAATTTATTTATGGATTTATAAAATCATTATTATTTTACTAACTGTTGTTTCACGTCCTCCTAATTCCGATTCAAAATCATCATCAATTATTCCATCCGATGTTATATTGCCTTTCATGATTCCTTGGTTTTTCGATGTTTGTCCTGTAGCTGATGCAGATATATCTAAATATAAAATTTATAAATTATATTATTAAAATAAAATGAAAGAATTAGTAAGTAATAAAAAAGAAAGCGTTATTTACCACCACCAATATTATTCTTGTTATTTAAAACAAAATCATGTTGGTGATTGTCAATGTGAAGATATTGCCGAAAATCGGCATTATCTAAGAGAAGAATCGTGCAGCAAAGAAAAAGATCAACAAAGCTTTAGAGCTACATCCAATCAATTAAATAGTTAATTGGTTAATCTAACTTCTTATTCTTACCATAACCTAAATAATCATCTTCCTCAATTTCTTTAGAAATATATGAAATTTATTTTATAAATTCTGTTAATTATATAGATAATAATTTACCTCGATCAGCAATTAAATCAATATCATTTTCATCATATTCAAGTTGTGGTACATCGTCAATATTCGTACGATTGTCCGTAGAACTTTTCCAGTAAGGATATTTGTCTATATTAAAAGAAAAAAGTATTATAACAATAGAGTAATTCTTTCGCAAGCATATACAATTTCATCGACTTCAACCGAATAGGATAAAACTTTCTAAAATGTAGTAGATCTTGATATTATGATCTAAAAAGTTTTAAAATAAAGTTATTACGGTTTTCGACTATCAATTCAAGAAATATTCATAGTTGAAGCCTGACTTCTGAAATTTCTCTATTTCAAATGACAGAAAGATGAAACTTTATTGAGCGAATATTTTTCTCTGATGTTTAAATTTTTCAAGATTTCGAAAGCTCAGTTTATCCAATAAGGTTTAAAACCAAAGTCAATCATTCAGTAGACAAGCCTAATCTATACTCATAGTCTATTGAAAAAGAATTAACCCAAAAACTGATATTTCCAAATTGGCCCTTCATCTTTAAGATCGACGAATTTTCAATGGGATTTCTGTTCGGATTTTCAAACTCATAGACTATTGAAACAAATACATTTTTGTTATAATCTTTACCAAAAAAATCTCAAATATAAGGTTTTTTTGTCTAACTAGAATCCTTAACTTTCTCAGTTGACAGTTTAGAAATTTCACAAAAAAAAGTGAAAATATCCCTTCTACTGAACGATCAGCTTCAGTTTTAAGTCTTTCGAAATTTCATAATTGAGTAATACATTTCAAGACAATTCTAATATATTTAAAATCGATAATTAAATATTGCTCTTTGTCAGATAAACTGAACTTTTAAAATCTCGAAAAAGTTTAAACACTAAAGAAAAAAAGTTTCATCTTTCTATCATTTGAAATAGAGAAATTTCTAGAGATCAAAGTTTAACTAGAAATACTTCCAGCAATGATAATCGAAAATCATCACGACATTATTTTAAAACTCTGTCAAGATGATTTTTTAGATCATGATTTCAAGTTCTACTAGTTAAGAAAATATCATTCCATTCGACTGAAGTCAATATAAAATCTGATACATTGCCAAAAGAATCATCCAATAATTATTAACATTACTATTAATTTCAATAGAGCAATGATATAAACTAATCATTGATAATCACATATATTATTAGCAAAATCTAATCAAGTTAGCTTATTACATTTAATTGTTTACATATAGAAATGGATATGTAGACATGCACGAATGACATTAAAAGCTAAAAAAGAGGCAAATTATTTATATAGACAAAAAACAAATGATGAAAATTTATATTTTATAATTATTTTAAAAGTCTATATGTTATTGTATCCTATTAATATAAAATAACTTCTTTATGAAAAGAAGTTCTACATGTCAAACAATACTTTAAATCAAAAATACATGATTTTTGTAGAACTAACAAACGCAACATCTAATCGGAAGCATTCGTTCTTAAATATAATCATTAAAAAATCACAATAGGTTAGAATTCAAATCATTAGCAAGTTTTTTTTTTTTTGTTAAATGCAATATTAATGGTTATTCAAGCTCACAAATCTAAAATTTCATAGCAACTATATTCTTTATCTTGTTTCTTCAAAAATTACATAGATTAGATGTTGCCTATGTTGAGTTCTATAGATGATAATCTTCCATGTAGCAAGGTAACCAGACAGAAGCTGGAGGCGGAGCTCAGTCTTCATGGACATAGGTATTAGTAAAATACGCTGTGACTTACCCTAAGCTAAAAACTCAAAAAAATAAATATTCGAAAAAGTAACATTATATGAATTGTGGTAAATGCTTGAGGCCTCTAGTTAGTAAAAGTATGTACCAGAGTCACATTTGACTTAACTTTTTCGAACATTTATTTTTTTAAGCTTTTGACTCAAGGGATCAGCCATTTTATCTTCGTGATATTTTTTCCAAAAATGGCCCACAGTTGGTCAGAGCGTATTTTACTAATACCCCATCGAAGGTTTTGAGTCCCTCTAACAACGATTGAGTTTCCTTATAATTTTCTTCTGGTTACACTACTGCTTACATGTTATCTGAGAATATTTTTTCATTCAATTTCTTATCACGGTTTTTTTTTTCTATGCATAATCATGCAATTAATTCATAAATATAATTTTTGATAGAAGAAATTTTTATGATGTAAAAAGAAAAAAAAAGAAGTAACACATATTCTCATTGTTTATTTGAAATAGATTATGCTATTGTACATTTTATGGCTTTTTGAAACAGGAATAAATCAATCTTTAATGATAAATCTATTCTTTAGGTTTTTTTTTTCTTCTATCAGATTTTAACAAAATCTAAATTTCTCAATTTACCAGCCGGTAATAAATTCCTTGGAGTTTCATTTTGTAAATCAGTGCCATTTGATGGAATTATATTGTCTTGTGAATTATTCACATTTTTATTATTATCATCCATTTGAGCCATGTAAGATGAATTTTGTATCACTATATTATCACTATTAAGATTTTTTGTATCATCATGTAATGATGACATGATAATCTAAAATAATTTAATGTTCATTTTCTGTTTAAAACATATTGAGCAAAATAAAATTAATCTGATTTTTTTTATATGAACTTATATAGATAAATTTCATTGAAACAAAAATACAAAAATTGTTAATAATAGATTTTTTTTTTTAATTGCAATACAAAAAAAAACAAGCATAGAAATCAACAAATCAAATATCTTTATTACAATCATTCGGTTAATATAGCTAAAATTAAAAAAAAAAAAAAGATATTTTATTAATAAATTACAAAATATTATTTTACCACATTTAAATGGACTTGGACTTTCACATACTACACAAGTATCACGTGAAGTTTTAATATATGGTTCATTAATTACTGTACAAGATCTACATAACCATGGCGAATTAATTAGTTCAAATTCTTAAGAAAATAAGATTTAATTATTGAAAAACAATATAATAGTGAAATATAAACCTTGTAATGTTTTTAATTCTTGTTTAAGATTGAAATTTTTTCTTAATACTTCATCATACAAACGATTGAATTCTGCTTCGTCCTAAAATAAAAACAAAATAGAGAAAAATTTTGATTTATATTTTATTTTTAAAAAATTATCACTAACGTCTGGATCTTCTTCAAGAGAAGAATGTTCAATAGATGTATCTATTTCAAGCATAATAAGAAGTTCCAGATCTAATCGTTGTGCTCGAACTATAAAAAACAAAAAAAGAAAATCTATATTTTGATTTTCTTCATAAGAAAACTTTAAAATTGAATTTTAGAATCAACAAAAATAAATTTATACTTTTCAAATAATATCATTTCATTTCAATGAGGTTAATAACAACTAATATTTTTAATACCTATTGATTTACATAGACTATCGTTTCTTTTGTAGGAAGAATATGAAAGATTCTGAAATAGTATTTATTGAATTTTATCAAAGTTTACTCGAATCTATTGATAATGATTATGATCTGAAATCTTATAGGTCGATATCTTCGATTTTTTGTCAAAATTAATTCGAATATCAAATTTTTGTAAGATTCAAAAAGAAATCAAAATCTTACAAAATTTTGTTTACATTCTAATTTGACAGAAAATGTTACTTTCAGTCCGGACTCGGTATCAATGTACTTTATTAATCTTTTCGTTACCGACAAAAGATACACATAAGTTAAATAGAAGCACATTTTCGTTTCTTAATGGCATGAGCCGTAACAAAATGGTAATGTAAAAAGCTCTTACTGTTTGACGTTCGTTTTTACACAAATGCATCGAAAAAAATATGCATTATAGATAATTACATTACTGCCTGTTTAAAAAATAATGGTCAGGGATATTTTTGCAATAACTCAAGAATGAAAAGAGCTATAGGACTGCAGTTTTCAACAGTCGAAAGAGGAAATATTCGGACGTTTTTTTTTCTTCAATATTATATAAGACGAAATCATTTCAAAATCAACCATTTTTACAAAATATCGAAAAAAAAAACTATACAAAAGTGATCTATCGTTCAGATCAATTGGCTTAACATTATTATGTATGAAGATAATCATTCGAATTATATTTTAAACTATAGATCTGAAATCACATATCAAAACGAAAATTTCATCGAAATGATAGATCATTTTCATACATTTGTTATAGAAATGATCGCTTTTAAATTGATTTCATCTTATATAATATTGAAGAAAAAGACATCCGAATATCTTCTCTTTCGATTGATAAAAACTGCCGCTCTATTTCTCTTTCTATTCTTGAGCTATTCCAAAAATTCCTACGATCATTATTTTTTTTTAAATACGCAATAGTTTCACGTGATAACAAAGCTCATGACGCATACATACATCGCCAGTTGCCAAAGAGTTAATCATCATAAAAAAGCTTTATTTACATGATGAGTTGAAACACTCTATAATGCCTAGTGGCATTTATAAGGGAAACTCTACAGCTGCCTACTTCCGATTTCAATGAAATATTATAGTCCTATCAATTAAAAGTAGAACTTAAATTTTGTATATAAAAAAAAAATTTAGAAGTTTTCAACAAAGTCTTTTTGAGATATGAAGATTTCGAAAAATGCAAGTTGTATACACCATTCATGGACAAGAGTCTATATCTTAAAAGTCTTCTATATCGAAGAGAATTTTTTGAAAACTTTTTATGTTTCAGATCAAATTTTGATATCTTGGTTAAATATTAATAGGATTTCTATTAGAATACTATATAGTGTCTATAGGCAACAAAATCATTAAAAACAGGTGAAGAAGTTTTCCTATTAGTATACTAACTATTCTTAGAAATAAAACATTTTTATAATAATTATTGAGATAAATTTCGGTCCGGCTTAAAAGTCCTCTAACTCAATTTGATTATTCAATGAAGAGAATTCAATTTTTGATTTTTTTCTTAATGGAAAATTCATTATTTTTCTTTTTTCATGTATCAAAGATACATTACTATATTCAGAATCATTAAGTAATGATCGATTAATTCCAGTATATTCATGATTTAAATCATTTGTTGAACATGATGATTGTGTTGACATAGTTTCTGATATTTGTATATTATAAATATTTAAAAGATCAACTACAGGTAAATTACATTCAACATTCGATTGGGTTGATACATTTTTAAATGTATTATGTAAACCTTAAATAAACAAATGAATTATAATGTTTTATTTTATTAATTAGAAATTTCAACTGACAATCATTAATTGGTGATGTACATGAATGAAATAATGATTGTTGTGTTTCTAGAGGATTATTTGTATTTGATATTGTTAATGGATATTGAATATATCGTGTTACATCTTGATCAATAATATCATTTGGTAATAAAATAAAATCTGAATTAAATTTTTCAACCATAATA